TTTTTTCCAGAAATTTTGAAAAAGCAACCATTTTTTGCCCCCAAAAATACACCATTTTTCGCGTAAGTTACTTTGAGGTCTTCTCGTTCTGCACAGAGCGGACCAAATCTTTGATTACTGCGAACATTGTTGGGGTAATGTCTTACACATCGTTTGGACCCATCGCTCAGGGCGCGGCGGTCCTTGCAGAAGCGAGTCAGCTGCGAAAAGAGTTGCAGTCAGAGGCAAGATCAACAGCTTGTATTATCTGAGCGCAAATCGCAAAACTCGAGTGCAGCTGCGGGTTAGAAGTTAACAGGTTCCTCAAACAGATCACCCACGATTTGGACGAAATTCTCTGAACTGCACAAAAATGGCCGCAAGAAGAAAAATTTCGAAATTTTCATGGTTGGACAGATGTCTTGGCATCGATAGGAATCAGAAGCAGTATTGAAAAATTTACGCTTCGTTCTACTGAACACTATACAACACTTGGTGTCAAAGTCCTACCGAGCGCCAAAAAATGCGTTTGAATATGAAACTTTCAAAAGTGCCCCGATACTTTCTTTACAACCTAATAGTATGTTTTCTTAGAAACAGAATGACATTATCAGAATGAGAATAGGTCACTATCAACTGCCAAACAAATTCTTTTGGACATGTAGATGACCTATTTTTTATACGTTGCACGAGGACACATCTTCGTGTAAAATTGGGACTGATTTTAGTGTAAGGAAAGAAGCAGTATTTCAAATGAGTCCGAAAAATAGAAAGGTACTACCTTTTAATGGGAGTGTTTTATAACTTTTCAATGAATGATTGTGTATAATATCTACAGCTTGTGCTTCAAAAGATTTTCCGGATCAAGCTGAAAACAACAACATGAAGCGATACAGTAAAACCAAACTATAGCTCGAGTTTCATAAAAAAAAAACTTCAAGAAGGTAGAGTTGCTAAGGGTTGTTTCAGACTGCCGCATTGACCGCAGCAGACTGCAGCAGACTGCAGCAGATTGCAGCAGACTGCCGCATTGACCGCAGCAGACTGCAGCTGACCTCACTGACCGCAGCTGACTGCAGCAGACTGCAGCAGAACGCAGCTGACCACACTGACCACACTGACCGCGGGGCCGCACAGATCGCTACATCCTTTGAAGGTGGAGAGGATAAATAGTTGTAGCTCAAACAATCTCTTAACAATATATGCCCCAACAGACAACCCGAGCGGGACTAAAATAGGTATATGCAATGACAAAAGGGCCCGTAGTAAACCCCTCGTGGTTGTCACAACATAGAGGGACTATGTCGTGATAGCTCGGAGTATCTCGCAAGACTATAGCGAGCTATCCGCAGGGCGCCGCAAAACGAGCGCCTCCGCGCGTCATTGAACCGCTGATGACCGCGATAACAGCGGTCACACGCGCTGCGCTATGAGTACAGATATGCCGTGGGGTATTTGCTTAGCAAGGCAAGAATGTAGTATACTATGCTTGCCAGAGCAGGTAAATCAATCAAAGGAAATCCAATAACTAACTATCCTCGCGTGTGCGCGCCTCTTTCTCCATATTTTGACTCATTATCTCATGCAGGGTTGAGCGTGGGGTCAGGCGCGCCCGACCTGGGGGGTCGTACTGGGGTAAGACAGAGGGGGGGGGGGGTCGTGATTAGGAATGGAATTCGTTCGATTGAGGAGATACTACGATTAAGGTGAAGAAGAAAAGCGCTAGTTTAGTGGATATCGCGACCTCACCAGTACTGAAGGAATGAACGGTCTTAAACAGCATACTGACTGATTCCACAGTCGAAGTTTCGGCCAAAACTCAAATCTTCATCTTCTACCTTGACATATTATAAATTCATCAAGGAAGCTTGCTGTGTGAAATGGGTATCATTTCCGAGCACGTCAAATTACCTCTATGAGCCCTACAAACCATTTTTACTGCATTATCTAGTGTTTCTCAACGACTAAAAAGCGTGATTTTCAAACATGATTAACTTGTTTTCAAAAGTGAGAAAAGTCAATTTTTTTGTACTCGTAACAAAGTATTGTTCCCTACTAATCTAGGCTAAAAATCGCGCTTTGTATCGCTTGCAAATAGTGGAGTAAGAAATAATGCCAAAATTCCGACCGGCGCGTTTTTCTCCATGACTGCTTCAACTCCACGGATTACCACAAGGCCGAAACAAATCGTATCAAGTCCAAACACTTACTGTGGAATCTTCGAGGGTTGTGCTAGCGATTCACATAAAACTTGAATAAAAAAGCTTCTTCAATGATAAAGTTAATCGGGTCAGGCGCAACCCCACAAAAGGTCAGGCCGCCTGAGCTTTTGAGGGGTTGCGCCTGACCCGATTAACTTGTTTTCAAAATCTAAAAATCGCTCCCTTTCTGCTATGAGTATTGAACTCAAAGCCTCTTCTTGCAATACTGCAAATTTGGAGCCAAACAATACACCCCTGTGGAAATTATAGCTCTAAAAGCAGGGCTATCCAAAATCCAAAACTTGCCGTCAAGTTGCGTGTGCTGTGCAATCGCAGAAAGTCGACCTACAGACCCCCAAAAAACAAGAACCTTCCAAAAACGGCTGATCTCTTCGAATTATCACAGTCTGAGGTCCTAGAGGTGAAACAGAGGGGTCGTTTAGGGGCTTTCACTGGGCGGGGGGGGGGGGTCGTTTTGGAAAGACTTGTGCCTGACCTCTTGCTCAACCCTGATCTCATGTTCATCAATATTGATAGGAAAATGCAGTTGATCTATGTCTGTTGCAGAATTATGCTTATCTTTGTACACCATGCTCTAAGAAGCGCCATTGTCCGTTATGGCAGGACCATATTTGACTGTTGCCCTCAATAAAAATTGAGCGTGTCAGCCCGTGCCAGATTCGTGCCAGCTCCGTGCCACGACACAGATGGTCTAGCAGCGCGCACATTCGCTGCGCTGTATGCTACTACGCCGTGCTTTGCTAGGGAGAGGATACATGTAGCAAATAGAGCAGTCGCAGCAAATCAGTATGGGAAAACGATATGCATGCCTTATCCGTAAGTATTGTTGAAGGGTTAGCTACTACTTTTGCAATTATTGTGAAACAGCTCAACAACTCAACAAAGCTTGTATTATAGTTAGCGCAGTGCCAGTGTGAGAGGCCGGTGTGCTAGACGTTGGGGGTACAAGTTCCAGGCGACCCTATCTTTTTTTTGCTGGCAAACTGAATTTTGCAAAGGAACGTAAATTAGAATTTTCTTTTTGAAAGAAAATGGAATTCAATGTAGAATACATATTAAAAGTGAACAAGAAAAATCAAGATATTATCATCAGCATTCAGTCCGTTCAAAAATGGGCTATTCCATTAGCCATAACGCCAGACGGTCCTTTCTCATAAAAACGAAAGGAAACGAGAGGTGCATGGCTAACGAACAGCAACCAGCAAAGATATGTGGTCGAAACTGCCAAGAATGATGAAAAGATCAAGAATTTGCGAAAGTTTGGCACAAAGAAGGGACTTTTTGCTCAAACAAGGTGCATAGCAACCATAAAGAAGGAAAACTGCATAAGTACGAAAAATATGGCTAAGTATGAGTCTAACATACTTTTTAGTTAAAATAAACTCACCTTTTTTCAAATATTAAAGCGGCAACAGCAGAAGTACTTGGAGAATAGGGAGAGGCGCATTGCTCGAACAGTTAGGCGCTTATCAGCTGTTGATATTGATTGCGGTTGACGTGCGTTATAGAGAACTGTGTGCATGTGCGACCTATTGCGAGGTTGGCGTAGTCGAGCTCTAGTCTTGCGCTATGTCTCTGCGTCTCTATGATGGACAAAGTATTTCGCCGTCTTGTTCGTCACGACATGTCGCAATATGTCGCTATATGTCCATCCGCGGCAATGATAAAGGATAGCCGCTTTGCCAGCCTCGCTCCATGATAGTCAGCACATGTCACAGCATACTCCGAGCTATACGTCACGACGTCCGGAGGGTTTACTACTGGCCAAGGAATCTGAACAAATATGAGCATATTAAAAAAACAATCGCCAAGATTTGATTGAGAAGAGTAAGTTAGAACCTATAAACTTTCTGGGACTAAATCACGGTGTTTTGATGTATTCGCAACTATTTTCTCTTTCACCAAAGGATGCATTGATTGTGCGGCCGTTGCAGTCAGTGTGGTCAGCTGCAGTTTGCTGCATTCTGCTGCGGCCAGTGGGGCAGTATGAAACAACCCTAAGAAAGGGGGGAGCAGGGGCAACACTCATGGTGGGAGAGCATAGTCCCATTCATAAAGGATTCTTGGCAGCCCCCCCCAATTATTGGCCTATGGTAGACATCGTGGGTTGGCAGAAGTAATGAGCGTTTCTTATGCGACATATTCAATAAAGCAAAGCAGCTCTACAGAATGGGAAGCCAAAATCAAAAATTGATTACCCCAAAATCGGGGTTTCACCCTTACACTTTCCGCTTGGTCATGACATAATGAGCATAAACTATATAGATGCACTAAAAGTGAAGAAAAATGGGTTGGATATACGTAACCGTTTCCGGTTTTTTCTGCTAAGTCTCTTTATGACAATTACGTACTAGGATAAGATTTTCATTGTCCTGCAAATTTTGATACACTATATATAAGGTCAGTCTGAAAGTTCGTGCCGTTTTTCAGAGTCACTGAACAGTGTTGAACGCAGAAAAGTTTTCTCTTTCTAGCCGTGATGTCTTTGTTCTGAACCATGATTCCTTAATGATCGTTCGAATAGTCGTCAGATATCCAAGCCGTCGTTTTTACCTACCGTCATTTTGGCAATTTTTAATTTACGTTTCAGACTTTTGGAAGAGCTCTTTCAAAAGCCAGCTATAGATGCCATGAAAATTCATTGTGGTGCTCTTTGTTTACTCTATCCAACTGTGATCAACTTGACTGCCAGGAAGGGATCGTGTTGGTGAAGCTGTGTAAGCACGAGCATTGCAGCAAAAATGTCGGCAGGCTGAGTGTAAGAAAGGGGCCTGTTCGCGTAGCTTTTTTTGATGTCAAATGAGCCTTAAAGCAAAAGTAGAACTTTTCAAAGTGTCAAGGTTCTTTCGGCAATGCTCTAACTGTATAATAAGAGGAAGGTAATATTTGTTTGAGTTGTTGACATGACTAACAATAAGAGAATTCAAGCTGAGCTTCAAACAAGTAAGATTCATTTGCTGCAGTTGGTTACTTCAAGATTGGGCAAATATTCCTTGTTCCGTTATGTGTGTCATCGTCGTTGTATTTGTAATTAACTCGTCTTGCTGCCAGAGCTACATTTTAAGGCATCGCCACTCGTCGCAACAGCTGTTCGTACCTCCTGCACTATCGTCTCTCCGGATAGAACCCGAGGACTGTCAGTTGGTAGCACGATACAGTGAGACGGCCAATAGGTGAGCGCGTCAGGTAGCAGTGCTGGGATTGCTACAAATAAAACCGTTCGCATGTTATGATCCTAAATGTGAGACAACTGAGCAATATCACTTTTGTTCTGCAGCCTTTTGCATACGACAAGAACTCGGACCGCAGTACCTTAAACGAGCTAGCGATCATTTCGGCGTCCGTGCTTTGAAAAACGCCGTCCGCCCGCTTGGACAATAAAGCGAGGAAGCGGAATACCTTGAGCGGCGACTATTTATGCCTCTCCTCGCGTAATCGGCTATACCACTCGCTATTTATAACATTTACGGGTCTACAACCTGCAGACGCTGCGGCAGTTATGCATTTTTTGCTAGAACACATTCTAATTTGCTAATACATATTTTGAATTTATTCAAAAAAAACGTATAAGCAACAACACATACATTCATACTACAAGAAGCGCAACATAGATTACGACAGTTAACATATATTTCACTACGTAAGACAAGATAAGAATTATCCGTGGTAGTTGATGCCAATCTAGTTTACCTTTGACCATACGATACAGCAGAAATTCTCGGCAAATCCTCTACCTTTGGTTTTTTCGCTTACGTGAGGTAGTTTGATGCGCTGATTCCGGAAACCCATTTTTAGTGCGCGAAAATGGCGAAAAACAGCATTTTCCAAGCCCCCTCATTTTGAATTTGGTCGAGTGGAACGCTCCCCGCCATTATTAGAGACGCAGACTCGTTGTGGGACCCTCACGTTTATAGCATTGCGGCATGCAGACTCTGATGGCTGAGGAATTCGCGAGCTCGTCCGAGTGCGTGTAAGAATGGCTCGCGCGCACGGGTTTAGGAGCAATTTTCTAGGCAAGAGTTGCATGCTGTGCGCTCGAACCTGCTCCATTCTCGTGTTTGGGGTGCAAGCAACCTCTCATATAAAAACTTCGAGGTGTTTGATTTTGCCGAGCCACTGCCTTTAAGGATATTCTGAAATATCCCTTTCATTTATTACGTATCTTACTCCGACCTTCATTCATCTCATATTATTTTAATTGTTAACACTCAAAATTTGTAGAAATAGCACAACTCTTGCCAACGAACATTTTTGGATAACAGACTCTCTGAAACTGATGCCACGAGTTTGTCACTCAATATTTACAGCTTACCTCTTTGCACCAGATACTATTTTATCTCCTACTTCTAAAGGTGTTTCATGTGATTTCATGCGATAAATCGTGAGTCTGATATCGACTATTTATAATCACTCTAGCAGCTCATGATGGCAGCTAAGCTATGGAAACAGCACTGACAAAAACGAACACCACATCAATGAGAAAATTGTATTAGGTTGTCAAGAAAATAATGTCGTTTTCTATTTGCTTGCTTTAACAAAGCAACCAGACTCAACCAAAAGGTAATGGGTACTGTTCGATAGAGCAAAGCTAGCTCCACAAGATGGAGTTCATGATTATGTGCCAAGCTCGATCCACAGAAAGTTCGAACTCAAAATCTGGAGATTTCCAAATGCCCAAAAAATCGAAAAAAAAATCAGATTTTCGTCCAAATAATTTCTACGGACCTCCCACTCGCACACGTCGATACATCCGATATGTGATATCCATATGTGCAGTTGCTGTACTTTTTCGTTGACTAGAAACTGAGAAAACGAAAATTTTCGTGTTTTTCTAAAAGCAATGCTGAGCCGTTCCTGCATATGTGATTCCATACTACAAGCCCAGGTAAGTATAAGTGTACATTTTCAGCCCATTCCGAGCAGTAGTTTTCGAGAAATGTCGCTTTTAGCACTGAAACTGAAAACAGGATAGCTGATTTCGATATTTCTTGAAAACTACTGCTCGGAATGGGCTGAAAACCTACAATTATACTTACTCAGACAATCACAGGCTCTCAGCCGGCGGCCACAAAGCCACCGCGAAATCCCACCAAAAGCGCGGTGGCATCATCGCCTCACCGTCGCTTCCCGCTGAGAACTGGCAGCGCGCGGGCTGCTATAAAGCCTTCAGCGCGAAGCGAAACCGCCGCTTTCGCTTCGCGCTGAAGGCTTTTCGCTTCGCGCTGAAAGCTTTATAGCAGCCCGCTCGCTGCCAGTTCTCGGCGGGAAGCGAGATGCGACGGTGAGGCGATGAGGCCACCGCGCTTTTGGTGGGTTTTCGCGGTGGCTTTGTGGCTGCCGGCTGAGAGCCTGTGATTGTCTGAGTACCTAGGCTTGTAGTATGGAATCACATATGCAAGAACGGCTCAGCATTGCTTTTAGAAAAACATGAAAATTTTCGTTTTCTGAGTTTCTAGTTAACGAAAAAGTACAGCAACTGCACATATGGGTACCGCATATCGGAAGTATTGACGTGTGCGAGTGGGAGTTCCGTAGAAATTATTTGGACGAAGATCTGATTTTTTTCGATTTTTTGGGCATTTGAAAATCTCTAGATTTTGAGCTCGAACTTTCCGTGGATCGAGCTTGGCACTAAATCATGAACTCCATCTTGTAGAGCTAGTTTTGCTCTATCGAACAATACCCATTACCCTTTGTTGGGTTGAGTCTGGTTGCTTTGTTAAAGCAGCAAATAAAAAAAAGGGCATTATTTTCTTAACAACCTAATAGAATGATCCAAGATAATGATTATGACAATGTTGGCACGCCGCCTACCCGCTCAAAAAGATGGCCCGGCGTTGGTGGGTGCAAAGTCCGCCGCCTGCAAGCTCGGTATCAAAATCGCGCCACTCGCCCGCAGTAAGGCCGCGCACACAAATTAAGGTTCGCCGTCCGCTCGGCAAGTCTTGAAGGCCGTTATTCCGAGTTTTTGTATGAGTAGCCTTGCCTCTGACAATGCATCCACCAGACATTTGTTGAGCCACCGACTGACTTGCTTTAAATTGAAATGTTTCGCACTCACAGGGCAGTACTTGCATTCACAAAGTCGATTTCCTCAAGATAGAAAGCAAAGTCATTTACTAATCGAGTATTCCTTGATTATCATCAAGTATTGTTAGTGACTTGCCGGGGTCAAAATAGGTGGCACTTATTCGCAGGTCAATACCATGCAATTCAATGACAAAAAAATGGCTTCGCAGTTGCCCGCGATTCAGATAGGAGGCCCACGGCAGTAATCATAACTTACGGTCAAATATTGGTAGTCAGTTCATGATACTCTTCTGTGCTAACAGCAAATGCGATGAACAATGATTGGGTTAGAAACCAAGTTTTGCAACTAACTCCGCAGCTTTTCGTCTTTTGATTGTCGCGCACTTTTTGATTGTTTAGATTATAACACAAGATATGAACTGACACAGACCGCTCGCTTTTCAATGACAAATAAATAAAATCAAAGCATTTTCGAATTACTGAAATTCGGGGAATTACGGGGTTTCAAGCAAAAATGGACCTGTTCTCAATCTAGGCACAACGATCAGGAATCGTACGTGGATTGCTAGAGGATGACTTATTTAGCCTTGAAAAAAAAATGAATTTGAATACAAGTTGAGATTGGCGCTTTCACATCAACGGATGACTTACGCCGGCTGCTGAGGATAACGGTCAGCAATCAAGGAGTAGGATCCAGGAGTCGTCAAGATTTTGCACAGTGGGATTATCTGAATTGCTGAGCACGAATAATATAATCATTCTTTAAACTAACCCCTCTCCTCTTCTTCAAAATGAGACCCCACGCTGTATACCTATCGTAATCTCACTGAGAGGCCTTGCAATGCGAATACGGTACCGTTTTTGTAGTTGGCATGTCAGAACCCCTACGCCGAATTTCAAAGAAATTTTTCAAGCAATCTAAATTTTTTTCTTTTACACACCTGTCCTCACCCACTTGGAATTTGGCACAGTAGTGGCTGCACTTGTAGCTTACGTGCTGACCTAAATGACGGCAAAATTGGGATTCATCACTTGCAAAGGGAGGAAATATAAGAAAAAGTCAAAGCTAGTTTTCGACCTAGTAAATAGAGCCTAGAAAATGAAGGAAAGCCGGCGTCAAGATCAGTGTTCATTAAGACCATATGCTAATCATTCCAACAAGGTCGTCGTTGCACGCGATGGGATTCCCTACTTTAGTCAGGGCGCCTTCTGGCTTCAGCGCCTTCCGTCGTCAGCCGTTTTTGTCCTCATGGAAGAGCGGCAACATAGCATTTTCATTGGGAAAATGTTGATACATTTAGGTGTCCGTTGTGTATCGTGTGCAAGATTTTCGTAAAACAATAGCATGTCCATAAGGCTGCGTTCATACTGATTCCCATGTTCTGGAACTGTTCCCGCACAGTTCTCGCACTGTGCTGAAACTGTGCGGGAACTGTGCGGGAACAGTTCCAGAACTGTGCTGCATGCGCTGCAGCCGCCCCGCACCGTTTTGAACGCTGGGAGTTGGAGAATTTTGACCGTTCTCAACGGTTTTTCTTCCAGATTTCGCTCATTTTGGCCTTAATCCTCCACCCCGCTTCCCTTTTTGATCAGCAGCACTGCGAACTCGAAGCGGGGTTGAAGAATGAGCGCTTTTCTGCGCCGTGTATTCGGAAAGATGGGCTATCGTGCGATTGTTCATTCTGTCTTCTTGTTTTTTGCTCAAAACTACTTCATTTGTTCCAGGAAGCGGCTGCCCAGTTTCCATAGCCATCTGCCACGAATTAGGGAGTAGGGGAAATCCTGAAATTGCATGAGTTGGGACTTGTCTCTTGTTTTTCATGATTTTAGGCGTTCTTAGCCTTGTTCGTTTTTCCATGTCGTTGCTTCTCCGTTCTTTCTTCTACCCCGCTTCTCCTAGTGATGAGAAAAGCTGTGAATTTAAAGCGGGGTTGAGGATTGAACGCTGTTCTGCTCCATGTATCCGGGAATATGGGCCTTCGTGCGCTCGTCCATTCTCTCATCGCTATTTTTGTTCAGACCTACTTCATGTGTTCTAGAGACTTGTCTATTTCAATTTTAAGACGATGCGAGACTACGCAGCGACTTGTTAGTACAAATGAATAGGTCTGAACAAAAATAGCGATGAGAGAATGGACGAGCG